CTATCTCATTAGCTTAAGAAAAAATAAAAATAAATATAAACGAATTAAAAATCATTAAACACTACCGAAACTCACTATGATTCAACATCAAAGACACGTGGATATAGAAAGAAGAAATATTTAACATTACAATGAAACATTTCGACGGTTTCGAACCTGTGAGATGACAGGTATCCATTTTCTTCACGGACTAAGTAAAATAATCAAGAAAAATGATACAGGCCTCTATAAGAATGTTGGTTCCATCATTTTAAGAAAGTGTAACAATTAAAATGCAGACACAACCAGAAAACAATTATGTTTTCTTTTAAAACATGGGATCCCATATGTATATAAATATAATCGAAAATATTTAGATTTCATTGATGTCATCAAACTAAGAAAAGATACATATCAACCATATAGAAAACCTAATGGAATGCCACTCTATATACACACATCTTCCAACCACCCACCATAAAAAATAAGACAAATTCCACAATCATTTAACCGCAGGTTATCTGACAGTTTTTTTCAGTTAAAACATCTTGAACGAAGCCAGAAAAGATTATCAAGCAGCTGTAAAAGATAACATACGACATAGAGCAAGAAAAAAGCTAACAGAAAAAACATCATATAGTTCAACCCACCGAACAAAAATATTCATTCAACTCAAACACAATTACTTCCACCATCAGTGCCTCTCCACAATATGTTCAACAAAAGTACAGTAAAAATAAGCTACAATTACACAGAAAAAACGACACAAATAATAATAAAAAACACACCAAGAACACTAACACAAAATCAACCGCACAAATCAAACCCATATATAACTAAATAGCAAAAAAATGAATGTCACTTAATTGGAATTATGCCACAATATAATCTATTAAGCCACTGTAAAATAAGCAGATAGTAACTGAAGGACCCTGGAAACAATGAAACTACACACACGTAAATAGGCGTGAAACGCAATGCTTTCTAAACATGTATGTGAAATTAAAAAAAAAAAAAAAACTAAAGCACGCCAAAAATATCATGGAAAATAAGGAAAACAGCATCAGCCTACAACAATATATCCAAAAAATGTGTAGTCTGTCTGGAGGATACAGTAGCTATTATTTCATTTTAAAACCAACATACAGTACCAAATAAATGATCAAAACAGATCTGAAATTACAAAAAGTAAACAATTTTTACTACGTTACTTAATCGAAAATTAAAAATAAAACAAAACATAAAAATAAAAAAAGAATATTAATACAAATAAATAATTAAATAAAGTCAATAATAAACAAATTTATAAACCACGTATGCACCCATCAATATAAGTAAACCTACTTATAACAATCAAACAATAAATAACAAAGCAATTAATTACAAAAGTTAAAACTAACACCATAAAAAACAGCATTCAGATCCACAATTATTTCCACTTAATATCCTCTAGAATAATTCGAAATATAAACTTTACCCCCTGCTTAATAGCCAATAGAATGATCCAACATAATTATACATAATACGTCACCCACCACAATATATAAATGACAACGCACATAGATTGCGTTTGAGCCTGAAACTGTCGCCGGTGGGGAGTTGGCCAAAATATCTAGTTTTATATTTACATACACTCTATCACTGATACGGAGTATATATATATATATATATATATATATATATATATATATATATATATATATATATGAAGAAAAATATATACGGAAAAAACAAAAAAAATCCTTGTATACAATTATGCTGTTTTAATGTATATAAGGATTTTTGTTTGTTTTTTCCGTATATATTTTTTTTCATACTGTCATATTTATATCCATATATTTGCGTATATATATATATATATATATATATATATATATATATATATATATATAATACCAATAGACAATAAATGGTATAATTGACAGATTTAAGAAATACATTAACGCCTTTTTTTGTGATGGAATCTGCAAAGAATAAAATGTATTTTTATGTGGAAAATACAATACATCACTCGAAATAAAAAAGTTTTATCAACATATTTGTAGTCCTGGGATATTTGACTTGAAAATTTGTTTTTCCATGAATCTTCATAAATTACATAAACATGTCTTTACATATAATATATACTTTTTCGGTATTAATTTAAGATTTTTCTACACAAGTGTACATACAAAAAGAACATGCCACAGGCGACAGCTAAAAAAGCGAATATCCGTTGGCATTAAACACAGTATGTCCCATTCAGGTTTTATTGATGTTATGTTTAACATTACTGAATGTAATTATCCTATATTGTATTATTTGCAATTTTCTGATTAAGGGACCTAAATTTACTGAGTAGTATTCGACAAACACTGTACTTCCAATATATGTTTACCTAACTAAATTTCAAAACAACACTCTTCATGTTTAAAACAGTGTTAGATCTATAACTATGAACGGTGAATACATTGAGATTAACGTTTTGAAACATAACCCTGTGAATAATTTATTTAATTCATAGATATCTCACCAATATATATCATAGGACATTTCTGTCGACTGTTTTGTCAATTTTTTTTTCAGTTATAATGTTATTTTTAATGTGCTTCGTAATGATTAAAAACCTCATTTTTTTTTGAATAGGTGGTATGTGTCTGTATTTCTGAGATGAAGTATGATGTAGGCCATTTAAATTATTCGAACTTTTGTCCTCATATTTGTTGCCATATTTATCATAACGTTTCGGCCGAACTGAACCCTGTATTTTGCTCGCTGGTGTAAACTTTCCAGTTCCACGTGACATGTCTAATATCTCCAATTCCGCCACTGCTTTAACCAGCTATTGAGAACTCACAATTCTTTGGACTGTCACTGGATCTAACCAACACCTTTATCCACTGTGTCATGTGTGCTTAAGGACATCTGTGTATGAATTTCAGGGAGTTATAATCTTAATGCCTTCAGCAACTATTTTTACCAGTGTTCATATTGCAATTTTTGCTGTTATCATTTTATATATATATATATATATATATATATATTACCAGAGCTCATATTGCAATTTTTTTCGTTATTATTGCTTTTCTCTGGCACTCATTATTAATGGTTCCCATATTTTGAACAGCAAAATGCTGTAACACGAGGGAAGTGGAAAAATCAGGCGTGGCTGACCACATAAGGAGAGAAAAGAGAGATCACTGCCCTCTTTAGGATCAGGTTGAAATAATAGACAAAGAACATCATTGGAAAATTCGTAAATCAGCACATATGTTAGGCCACAAAAATCTCCTGAGCCGACCAAGCATAGAAATGAGTACAATATTGGAACCAGTAATAAGGAGTGCCAGATAAAAGCAATAATATCAACTAAAAAACAGATTGCAATATGAGATCCGGTGAAAAAAAATGGAATGATAACAGCAAAAATTGCAATATGAGCACTGTTAAAAATGGTTGCTGAATACATTCAGTTTTTAAGTCCCAGACATTCATGCACAGATGTCCTTAGGTACACATCGCACAGTGGATTTTTGCAAAATATCCTCCTTGATCTTTGGTTGCTTCAGCACAAAATCTTGGCATTTGAGGCACAAGTTTCGCAAAGTATAAGTTTGATAATTGATTCCATACTTTGTTAATGACTCTAAGAAATCTGCTGTCATGTTGAACTTTTGAGCTGTAGTGTATATAATGCGCAGAGCACAGCTCAAAAAATCTAGAAATAAAATAACAATAAAACCTTGATAAAAAAAAAAATATATTATTATCTCTCTATACATCTTTTACTCTTTGTAGAGAACGAAATGAGGAAACCGGTAGAACATCTAACATAAAGGCAATGCTTTAACCAAAAATCCTTTTTTACGGGCTACGTCATTTTAGAATGACGAAAGTCATGAATTTCCGCAGTTTTCACCTTTTGTTGTTTTAATTAATGAGCTTTTATTTTCCTTCTCCCTCTTCTGGCAAACTTGTTAATTAGGTTGCCTGTTCTTTCACCTGAGTGTAATATGTCCCATGAGAGTTTCCGTGGACATATTTCCTCATTATGTGACCCAGAATTTTCCGCTTCCACTTTCTGAATGGAAGAATAAAAAATAAATTGGGAAACACCTTTATTTGTAAACATTTACAAAATAGCATTTAAATAGTGTTTATACATTTGAAGCATTCCAAATTCATTAAAAAATCTAAAAGCAGAATATGGCATAAGCGATGGGAAAATTTAGTAGGCAATTCTCATGTCGGTGTTTATCGCATTATTGGAGAATTTAATAAAAAAATAGCAGCAGCAAGGGGGAAACGAATGTGAAAGCATTCTCTGAAGAGAATCTTGTCCATAAAAGAAAAAAGGGTGTTTTATCGTGATGAGAGCCTTTAAAATATGGTTAACGATCGTGAAAACCGAACTCATTTTATGGCCTATCTTAGCACTGTTGCTAATAACACTGGCCCGGGTAAAAAAAAAAAAAAATAAAAAAATAAACCCAAAGGTTAAAGGTTTATCAAGTGATATGTGATCATTATTTTATGCTGAATTTCAAAAATACCATTCATTATATTTGGTCAGGTCTGATTTTTAAAATGTGCTAGAATACTTCACAAGTTGTACACAATAATAACACTTATTCGAAAGTCTGCGGACTCTACTTTTCGCAGCTGATCGTAGGTTCCTGATGTTTATTATAGCATATAATGTATGCATTCCTAATTAGAGTTTGCCACACTACTCTCTAACACCCACATACCTAGAGGAGGAAGGGATTATCCCTCAGCTTAAAATGATTTTAATATACTATAAAGGTAAAAGGAAGAGTATGTCATTTGACATTTCAGTGGTCTAGAGGGAAGGAAAAGATCACATTACGGATTATTATTTATGCATAATAAATCTAAAAGGAACGAATCGCAAGAATAAGCATCATGTCCAATACTCCGATATTCCTTCTGCCATAGGACCAATTCCTCATGGTCCAGACCTTCCTGTTCCTGAGCCAGATGGTAACATGGTATGTAGCTCTGATTCCTAACATAGTGACATGGCTGTTGTAGCCGGGGATGACGCATACAAGCCAGAAGAGGACAACCAGCCAGTAGCCTTGACACAAGCAGAATTCAATGATCTGACACGAGACCTGAACCTTTCAAAAGAGTCTGCTCGGCTGCTGGGTTCACGTCCCAAAGAGAAACATCTGTTGGCACCAGGAACCACGTTCTTCTGGTATCAAAACCGTGAGAGAGAATTAAGTTTTTCACGTTTCAAGATAAGTCATTATTTTTTTATTGCGACATTACTGAATTGATCAAATCAGTGGGCTTAGAGTATGATGCTACGGAAGGGAGACTATATATGGACTAATCTAGAAGAAGTCTCAAAGCAGTTCTACATAATGGAAATAGTTTGTTCATCTACCCCTATTGGGCATTCAGTGCGAATGAAAGAAACTCACAAAAACATGGTTCATTTGTCGTCAGCTGTTAACTAGCAGGAGCCAAAAATGGTTGATCTGTAGAGATGTTAAGGTGGTTGAACTGGTCCGAATCTCCAAGGTGGGTACACAACGTATTCTTGTCTTTCTGATACAGAAGGGACTGACATTGGTCAGACAAAAGTGACCGTCCAGACAAGGGTTAAAACCTCGTTCGCATAACGTTCAATCTCACACTATCGTTAAACCGAACAAAATACTGCTTCCATCCCTATATATCAAGTTAGGAGTAATGAAGAACTTTGTGAAGGCAATGGACAAGGAAGACAGCGGGTTTGCATTCCTCCACAGCAAGTTCCCACGGGTAAGCTTGGAAAAACTTAAGGCCAGTATATTTGACCCAATGTTTGACGAAGTACTGAGCCAAGCTGAACTGTCCGCCTGGCAGTCACTGAAATCAGTAGTTACAAACTTCCTGGGAAACCACAGGAATGTGGAATACGAGAAGGGAATACAAGAGCTACTCGAGGCACGAATTCAAGAGCTACTCGAGGCACGAATGGCAGTCAAACTGCACTTTCTGAGGTCATAATTGGACTATTTTCCAAAGGACTGTGGAGATGTGAGCAAAAAGCAGGGTGAGCGCACTCAGCAAGACATTTGCATTATGGAAGAGCGTTACCAAAGCCGGTGGGATGTAAACTCTCTTGTTGACTACTGCTGGTGTTTGAAACGTGATGTGGTCGCAGCCGAACACAGGAGGAAGTCCCTGAAAAGACCTTTTCATCCATGAATAGATTCTTTGGTGTTTTTTTTTTCAGTTTACTATGGCACAATGTGAGCTTTCTGCAAATATATCAGCCCTAAAATTTATATTGCCAACGGTGATAAAACAGTCCTGAATAACTTACTGGACAATATTTATTGATCGGCGAAGATAAAAATCGCATAAATACATTTTTATTAACATAGTTTTATATATATTTTTAAAAAGCTATATTCTATTTATTCGAAACCGAAAAAATTCCTTCGACAGGACATTCTGTTTTGTTATTATTAGTTACTTTTTCTACATGTTAACATTTAATATTTATTACTGAGAAATATTTCATATATATATATATATATATATATATATATATATATATATATATATATGGTAAATATGGGTGGGGGTGTCTTTAAAAAATAAATCAATTTTTCTAATATTATAAAGGGACCTCTAATTCGAACTTGTACCCACAGCGCAATTTCTTTTCCATGGTAATAATACAGCAAATTAATACATGTTTATAAATAAAAATCTTTAAATACAGATTCCCTAATAGAATTCATGCATTTGTCTTGATAATTTTCACCAAGGAAAGAAAAGTTTTATATATATATATATATATATATATGTAAAATTTCCTTTCCTTATTTCTTTCTGGGCTAACTAACGAGTGGATTTCCTGGCACGTTACATTTTGTTTTGTTCTTTTACTTCTCACTCATGTTTTTTTTTTCTATTTGTCAATTATGACTGTCTTTAAGACTGTCAATTTTCTAATATTATAAAGGACCACTAGGAATTTAGTTTCTTTTCACTAAATAGAATTCATGCCTTGAAATATATTTTAACTTTGCTAAATGGGATGTAAATTTGTCTACCGTAGAAACGAGCGGAATACCTGAAAAATATTTCTGTTCCTGGAGGCATATTAAATCTGCACGCAATATTTGGATGGTTAGCCGGTCTCTCTGGGACAGACTGTCTCCATTTGCGGGATTTTTACAACAAGATCTATTTATATTAAATTTTTCAACATAGTAATTTCACTAGCGGTCATTTCCGATATATCTAGCCAATTCAATTGCGCTTACATCCAGTCTCAGTACCATAGCGAAGAACTCACCCAAACAGTTACACTGAAAGTATTTATAAAAAAAAAAGGCACAGAGGAACAACTTTCCGATTGTGGAAAAGTGACTGATGTCGAAACGCCAGGACAGGACTAACAATATTGCTGATTCTTCTTTGGATTTTATTAAGCATCTGTATATCTATAGTAGGAGGACCGGAGCATATGTGACAACAATATTAAAACCGTGGGCCAAATGGTAAATTTATACCTATGTAAGATAGATTCTGGAGAGAAAAAATTGTTTTGCACGACACACAGTGAAACAACTTTCTTAGCAGATTTCTTAGTAATGGATTCATTGTAGTATTTCCACTTCATGTCAGCCGAAAATGTTAATTCGAGAAGGCACAACAAGCTTTTCTCTTGGAGGTTAGCATCAGACACGCTGATGGAAGGCAGAGATACATCTCTGGGAACGGTTTAATTTTAGAGATGTTAAAATTAACAAGTCATTTCTTGCCCCAATTAACAACAGACGGTAGGTCTTTTTTGAGATCAGCCGCTAATTTAATCTTATCGAACTGATCAGATTGAATATCGAGACAGGAGTAAACGGTTGTGTCTTCAGCACTGATACCAAGTTGAGTGATGATTTCATCAAGAAGGTTTTTAATTAAAATTTAAAATAAAATTTGGCTATAGATAGAGCTTTTGGGCACTCCAGGCAGATTTATAAGAAAGTTCGTTTCTCATTTTTATGGTCCTCTTCATTGGGTTGAAATTACCTTTTTTTATTTAATCCCTGTGTTCAACGTTGTTCCGTTAATCTTTACTATTTCATTACATTCCTCTTACCAACGATGTGTATTGTGTGAATCCAAGTTTTTCGTACACTGTCTTCGATGGTGCTGCGCCAGCTTTTCATATTACTTGCGTCATCTCTTGGGCATATAACCTTTTACATCTTCATCCCTATCTGGTCCATCGATTTAAATCCATCTCTTTACAGGAGATGAATACTAGTGGTTGCACAATATTCACACTATCAAACTGTTCATCAATTTTATTAGACGCTATTATTTATTTATTCATGCTTCTAAAATATTTCTTATTCTCACGAGACATGAATTTTTGTATTTATTTCCACTTCTCTTATGGAGTCGTCTTCAGGTCAGACTTGTAAAGGTTTTGTTTTCTACCCCACAGTCAATATATTCGTCCATCTTTTCCTTCTCTTCCACTTTCTTTCTTTGACCTGCTGGACCAGCAACATCTATTATATGACAAATTGTATCTTTATGATGACAAGGCCATGTTACCGAACCTGGAGTGGGTGATTCGTTTGGAATTCAACGGTCCAAAGTATAGAATTCTCTATTCTGTATATTATTTCAAACTAATATTTTGGGACCAGTCTGTGGGGATCAAATGAATAGAATTTTTTGTGTGTACAATTTATTTCATTATTATTATTATTATTATTATTATTATTATTATAAAATGATTGACGTAACTCTTCTAGTATTGTTCAGCACTGAGTGAAGAGGGCAATTTAAGAAAAGAACAGTAAAGAATTGTTGAACATTGCCAAACACTGTCTTTTCCTTTCATTTTTCCTTAAATCACGCTCTTTTCTAAGTCATATTATTATTATTATCATTATTATTAATATCAGAAGACAGAATAGAAAACCAACAAACTGTAGCTGAAGTTCAAAAACATAAAACGCACTATAATACCCTTTCTAATATGTTGTATAAAAACTATATAAATCACAGGAAATTTTGAGAAACTTGGTGGCAGGTTTAGCTAGAAATAACGCAAAACACTTATAGGTGAGGCTCAGTAAGAAATAACTTCAGCTCGTGTATCCACGTCCACGCAGACTTTCTCCGATTAAGGGTATCCCCAAGTATGGAGATGAAACTTTCCAGTCACCTTTTCGGCATCATCATTCAAGCGTAGAACCCCCTGTCGATACTCGGTCTTGATGGCCAATCACTACACCGGGTCAAAAATAGAAAGACAAATATGTGTTACTGAAATAGATATTTACTCCGTCCACCTAATTCAACAGTGCTAACATGTACATGTTAATACCTCCTGTTACTTAAGATCAGTAGCCATTATTATTATTATTATTATTATTATTATTATTATTATTATTATTGTTGTTGTTGTTGTTGTTGTTGTTGTTGATGATGATGTTGATGTTGTTGTTGTTGCGTCTGTATATTTTTGCTCAATTCACTTTATGTAACCAGCTTTAAATCTGCTTAATTCTGAAGTCTGGTAGAACAGTAAGTGACCTTTCATAAGCGAGAGATAATCTTTTTACAATAACTTTCTTCAAAATCTTACCCTTGTTATATACTACACAAATATAAATTATCTTACCAAATCTAAGTTACTTTGCTATAGATCTACATCAGCTTTCTAAATATACTATTTTCTTTTTCTTTCTTTCTATGTGCCGTGTCTTTTCAGGACGTAGGCGATCATGGCTCTCCACTTCCCCCCTAAACCTTGCAGCTCTCAACAAGTTCCTTCCCTTTGCCACCTCCCACAGAGCACGTGATATCATCCACTTGCTTAAGGCCGATAGGTATGGCATGCGTGGTTTTCCGTTGTCTTTCTCTCTCTCTATTCGATCCGTGAGCATCAGATTCTCCAAGCCTTTCTTTCTTCATTATTATATGTCCCAGGAACATCAGCTGTCTCTTCTTGATGTTAAGTATAAGCCTACTCATTGTTTGCATTCTCTCTAAGACCTCATCGTTGTTCACACGCTCGGTCCATGATATCCTTAGGATCCTTCTGTAGAAACACATCTCCGTCACCTTGAGTTTCTTCGGTGAGGAAATCATCCAACATTCGCTGCCGTAAAGAAGGACAGATGTCATTTAAAAGCTCAGTATTTTTTTTCTTTGTTACCAAATAAATGCTCGTGTCTTGCAATACTCTGCCCAGCTTTTGGAATGAGTCCTTGGTCATCCTAATACGTCGTTGGATCTCAATGTCGAATTTACAGTCCTTTGTCAGAACGCTTCACAGATATTTAAACTTCAGAGTCTGCTTGAGATTAGTGTTTCAGACCTACAATTCGCATTTCGGGTTCATCCTTTTACTGATGACCAAGCATTCTGTTTTCTTGTATTTTATGCTTAGTCCTTTCTTCTCAATCTCCTTAGCTTTCTTCTAAGGGAGATTTTCTTTTTTTTTTTTTTTTTTTGACTCTGCTATCAGTATTGTGTCAACTGCTTATCTCATGTTGGTAAAATTGTGGCCGCCAATGCGGATATCAGTAGTGCTGTCATATATGTAGCCGCAAATCTGGATTTTTGTTATGTCTTCTATTTAAGCCTATTATTGTCGTTAAGGCGTTATATTTCCCGGTTTCATAGGTACACTAATTCTTCTTCACATTGCGTTTACTGGTACGGAGATATTTAAAATCTCGTAGATTTTGCACAATTTCTATTCTATGATTATTCCTACCCAGCCGTTCCTTTCTTATATTCAATTTAAGACTTTGAGGTATTCGCGTAAGATTGGATTTGAAGACTAATATTAATAGTAGTAATATTTGTAGTAATATTAGTAGTAGTAATATTTGTAGTAATATTAGTAGTAGTAATATTTGTAGTAATATTAGTAGTAGTATTAGAATCATAGCTATCGTAGATATCCGGGGAGAAATATTGTTTTAAAATCTCAGAAATATTTCACAAAAATGTATTAAGAGAAATTATGGAAAAACACGCAAAAACATACCAAATTGCTTTGCAAACGTCGACTATGATTGAAGATAAAATAGTTACATGAGAAGCGATTTAAAAGTACGTAAAAAAATGTGAGGTTAGACATATACATAAATATGTATACACCTACAGCCACATAAATATGTATACACCTACAACCACATAAATATGTATACACCTACAACCACATAAATATGTATATGTCTACAGCCACATAGAAGCAGACAGAAATTATAGAAGGCAGAAAATCAAGAAAAAAATGTGTTTTGAAAAAAATGTCATTGCACAAGAGAAAAATTTCAAAATAACACTTCAGCTGAAGTTAAAGATTTAAACAGAAGCAAAGAAAAGAAAAAAAAATGACTTAAAAGATAATAACTTGACGGAAGGTGGGTAAAAGATTTGCAAAAATGGAGATTTGAATCCAGTAGACAATTTAAAATATATATATATATAAAACTAGAAAAATAACCCCGAATGTATAAAAGAATATATTTTTTATGAAACAATGTCAAAAGATTAGTACTGGGACACGACAGAATATATATATATATATATATATATATATATATATATATATATATATTTCATTTATATTATTCAAAACATTTCATTTTATATTATGTGTGTACATATATATATATATATATATATATATATATATATATATATATATATATTTAGTTGGAGCATTCTATTTGTTTGTGTCTCTCTCTCTATATCTCTTTCATTTTTTGTCTGTCAGAGTATTGTGTCTGTCTGTTTTATCTTTCTTTTTAAAGAATGTAACAGTATGAATTAATGTATGAAAATATCACATTTTCTGTCAGCCCCCTTGATTGTCTGTATTTCTTTGTAGGTCTGTGTCTCTTACAGACACCCCCCACACAAATATATATATATATATATATGTGTGTGTGTGTGTG